GTTGGTAATGAAAAAGAATTACAGACCTTTCCAGCACATTCGTCTATTTAATGGCGAAATCCCAATATTTCGCCGTTGCACTTTCCGATACGTGAGTAAAACGAGAACCAAATAAAATGATCACTTTTAAGAAACCAAATATTTCGCCGCGTGTTTTTGAAATCTTATTGAGGTAAAAAAATTATGATTTGTATTGATACATGTATATAGTAAATTTTATTTATGATGTGTTAGATATATGTATTGCGGCAAAATCGACTTGAGTGAACATGGAGTGCCGACACTTTTAGACATATTGGTTGCTATAGATGAGTTGATTCTTGACGAATTGCTTGAATACGTTCAAAACTTTCTTTTGGAGCATCACATCGAGTCGATGGCTGAAAATTTTTCCTTGATCAATCAAGTCGTATTCGAACATGACTCTTTTACAAAACTTCCCAAATTTTGCACAGATATTGTATGTCAAAATCCTGCCGCTATTTGTTATTCGAATGATTTTACAAAACTTCAAGAGAATGCGTTGGTTTCTTTGCTCAAGCGGAATGATTTGAATCTTCGAGAAATTGACATTTGGGAGAAGGTTCTTGAATGGGGAACTGCTCAACCTTTCGATTCTGAGAATGTTAATTTACGAGTCCCATGGAGAAATGGACACAAAACGAATTCAGACAATTAAAATTTGCGCTTAAGCAATGTTTACCATTAATCCGTTTCTTCCACATAAATTCTGTTGACTTTTACAATAAAGTAATGCCATATTCGGAACTGTTATCAGCAAAGCTCTACAAATATTTATTGCATCATTATTTGGTTCCAGGAAGCGAAGATCTTCAAGCTAACAAACATCTTATTCGAAATTCAAATGCTACTGACTCTACAGTACTTACCAGAAATCAAATTAATAAAATAAGTGGATGGATAAAGTCTCAAGATATGAAATCAACTCAGTCATTGGATTTAAAGCTTTTATTACGAGGCAGTCGAGATGGATTAACTGCAGCTGACTTTCATCGACTTTGTGATAATGCAGGTCAAACAGTAATTGCGATTAAGGTTAAAAATTCAGGAAAAATAATCGGTGGATATAATCCATTGGAATGGAATTCAAATGGTGGAAAATGGTATAAGACACAAAATATCTTTTTATTTCAATTTGACTCGAATGAATCCGATAGATTTTTAAGTAAAATTAAACAAAAAGAATATAGTATTTGCTGCAATCCAGTATATGGACCAATTTTTGGTTATCAAAGCGATTTAAGGTTATTCGATCCATTTAACGGTAACTTTTGTCATATGAACACGCTCTGTTGAGCTCTGATAATTCAAAAATTAATTTTGAGGTTGATAATTATGAAGTATTTCAGATTTTGCAAAAATAATTTTTAGTTCAACAAAATTTTCTTCGTTAACTTTCGAATTTATAAAATACAATAGAAAGAAACTGTGAGTATGTACAAAATAAATATTCGTTTAAAATACGCTAAATGAAGTATTAATTGTAAATTCTTTGCTTCACAAGTGATAAAAAAATCAGCATTAAAAAAGACCATTGACGAAAATTAGTGTTAACGCTAGTATCATTTGATGCTGTAATCGAATTATCCTGGTTATATCAAATATTTCTCAAGCATTGAACTAAAAAATTTATATAGCAAGATCTAGTGACAAACGTCTAATAGAGGTCTAATAACGAAATAAAAATTCTCTAAATTTTTTGTTAGAACCGTCAATCAAAAAATATAAACATTAGTCCTTGAATATTTTCCATAATGTAGAAACTTTTCAAGCACATGTAATGTGTGTAGTAGCTGCAATTTCATACTCAAATACACAAATTGTGGATCTTATATATTAAGCGTTAAGTAAAACAATTATAAGTTTATTGATTATTATAAATTTTTTAATTAACTGTTTTATCATTGATTTAAACTTAATAATTTTAGCACGTAATGACTTATGCAAACGACGTTAAATATATATGTACAAGTGAATCTTGTAATAGTAAAAACTCGATATAGTATTACTAATTGTAATCCTTGATATAATAAAGTTGAACTCAAAAACAGTCTACATGTACTGTATATTGACCTTGATATAATAAATTTATTAGTGAATTTAGTAAATTTTTTTACTAATGCACCTTACTTTAAAATGGCGTAATTATGATTAGGAGTGTTAGACTAAATAATTTACTATTAAAAGGAGTTTAATGTTCTATAGGTTTCCTGTGACGACTTGTACGCAAATCGACCTTAACAATGAAAACGATAATGCTAAAAGAATTCTCATAAAGGTTTCTGATGACAAAAAACAAAAGACAAAAACAACAGGACTTATTCGTAAAGCTAATTCAATTATGGTTTCAGTCAAAAAACTACCAAATTCAAAACAAAAGGTTGGACTTAGTTTCTGCCAACAAAACAATATAATTCGATGTTTGGATTGTTTATAGTAGAGTTCCTCCACTACTCGTACCGAAGTCAAGCTTTGAAGTTAATCAAGGAAAGAAAATAAATAACAATAAAGGTAAGTGTTAATTTATTTATTTCGATTAAGCATATTTCTTTTCGTTAGATACGTCCTTCTTTTATATATTTTCTCGCGTCTTGATCTAATTATCATTAATTTTTGTAGCTATTTAAAATGCAGTGCCAGATAAACTATATGAGAAAATTTGTGATAACGTACATGGAAAAATTCTAAAGAAAATAGAAAATACAAAATAAATCTGTAATAAAGTACGAGAGAAAATACATACATGAATATGTAGAAAAACTCTAAGAATATGTACATGTATATGAATCTGAAAAGGAATTTTCATGAGCATCGATGTTCATGTAACAATGATAGGAATATTATGCGATATACCGATAATTATTATGGATATTTTTGGTGAAGAATAGGCGTTTCTAAAAAAATTATTAACCTAACGAATTTAGAATAGTAATATTATTTTGATGATAGTAGTAAGGATATTTTATTAATCAAGATTCATTTACAAATCATGAAGCTTTGATTTGAAATTAAAAATTAAGTTCCGGTAATCATTTTCAGAGAAAAATTTATACCTCATGACTTTTATTGTAATTTCTCAAATTTTTAATTTTAGACGTATCATTTAGAAAATCTTTTTTTATACGAATCCAGAGATATCTATAAAGGAGTATAGTATAATCTATAATACCAAAATACATGTACACTCTATGGACAAAAGTCTGGAATTAGAGGTGATTGATATAAATAAAGGGGTGACTTGCATTATTATTTGCACAATACACAGACATTCAATTTTAATGCTCAATAGCTCTTTGGGATAATTGAAATCGTAAACTTTCAATGATATAAAAAATATGTCAATCCAACTGATACTTGGAGAAAGTATCAACTTACAAATTTTGAGCATAACAAGATAGTTAATGTTCAATTAAACTAGAAACTAATTATATGAATTAATTACAAGGTGATTTAAAATCCAGTGTTATAATGATTTTGGATTATACAAAAAACTTATTTAAGATATGAATTTTCAACATGAATTTGAAACCTTTTGTATTACTGAAAATCCAGTATTACACATGATTTATGAGTTTGTTAAAACTCATATATATTTTATTATAATTCATCAACAACAAGTAAAAAGAACTATTTAGCAAGTTTGATATAAAACCAATTCAAGTATGACATCTGAACTTAAAGACTCAAGATTACAATTATCTTCATGGACAATTAATAAAGATACCGATTTAAAAGAAATCTGAAAAGAAAGAAGAGAAAAAATACTGGCTAAAAAACAACAAATAGTTCAATAAACAGATGCAGAACATCTATTTTGGCAACTTCCCGAATAAATATTGTTTTATTCGTAAAAGTTAGAGAAAAATCATTTATTATATTGATATCGTTATTAAATATAGAATAAAAATTGATCTACCACTGTAAAATTTCACTGTTCACGTGCTATTTACATGTCATGCATAGATTAAATGAAAATGCACATGATGTCATGTAAAGGCATGCACAAAAATATGTATTTTCCACGTAATCACATGAGATTTACGTGCTATCTCCATCGTAAAGTTTTGCATTTTGCAGGTGTTTTATGTTGTGCTTAGCACGTAAAAATTTTGCAAATACAGGTGTTTACAGATATTTTACGGATAACTTGTAGATAATTTACAGTGGTATTTTACATGCATTTACGGTTCATTTATCATGCTGATTTCTCTTATTGTATATGGCAACAACACAATCCAAATTAATTTTAATTCCTTTTTTGGTGACACTAATAAATATCCATACAAGCAGCCAAGAGAATTCATTCTCGCTTATCAGCTTTTCGCACGTTCGAAAAAAAAACTGTTACCTCCTCCACTACAATAATTTTATCATCACGAACAATTAACAAAGTTCAAAAAATACACAAAAATAAAACACGTTCTTGTAAAATCATCTTGCATTCTGATATTCGTCCTAGCCGAGTATAATTATCTAGCGTCAATTTGAAATTTGGTGTACATTTTTGAAACGCAGATTTCTCTTGACGAACAAAAAATTGCATAACTTTAATTTTTTTCTCGCTTCAAATGGTGATGATGTTTAATTACACACAACAAAATTTTACCTTTTTCGAAATTCAATTTAAAATTCAGTTTGTGGGATTGTAAAACATGTAGTGTCATTTTCTGTTGATATTTGCCTGCCGTTGTAGAATGAACAAAAATCTGTGCAACACCAGGTTTTTTACGGTAATAGAGGAAAATAGATTTCTATTGATTTATCTGTTTTATATTATTAGTTTTTAAATATTCACATGTATTTGAGTGTATATAAAATTGTATTACCTAACGTGAATTACTTTACAGACACGAATCAACTTATTTTAGAAATTCCGTTGACATGTATAAAGTGCCACTTTTGGTTCTACAGTATATTATTTAAACTTTCAACTTTTTTCCCTTTTCTATGAATTAAGTCCTTTAACATTAATATTATCAATGAGCATGGATATAGAGGCAAATGATAAAAGCAATTTAATAGAAGCAATTAAAAATCGTAAAGCCACTATAGTACAGACAATAATTGCTGATTGCATTCAAAACTATGACCAAGAATCCATGCTCATTGTTGTTGAGGCTCTTCCGCTGCTTGCCGTTCAGTATCCAAATATATTATCGTATTTTTTGAAAAAATGCGAATACATCGAGGCACCGTCGGGATTGACGGATTGTTTAGATACAAGCATCATCATCAAGCGTCAGTCACTACTGGATAGTACAAAAATAAAAACTTATGATTTAAAAAGCAATAAAACCTCATATTTAACCAAGAAATATTATATACCGCTGCCCGGCCTATTTACAAGAAAACATGGCTTTAGTCCCTTTGACAGACTAGCTTATCTTCGTTCCGTTGAGGCTTTTCAATCTCCGGTCTTCGAGGCTATTGTTATGCAAAAGCTGAGAATTTACTCCAGATTATATTTTGCGATACTTGTTTACTATATTATCCATTTTAGTCTTTTTGTGGCGGTAATTAGTAACACAAAAAACACCGATACTAGAAACAAGAACTTAATGATTTCAAGCTTGTTCTTTGGGTCAATTGCGATGTTCTCTATTGGGATCAGGGCAATCGTTAAGTGGATTATATTTTTAAGATATTCAAAAGATGAAATCCCATTACATATTTATTTCGTCAAAACATCGGGTACATTTGTTGGATTAGCAGCATCACTTCTTCCCATCATTATTGTATCCTTGGAGTATCACAATAATACTGTAATTCCAGAATTTAAATCTCTCTCTATCTTATTTATGTGGACCTTTATCCATTTTCAACTTCGTCTTTTTAAGGGTGTCGGTGTTTTCGTCTCAGGTAAGAGGTCATTATAAACTCGGCTCTAACTAAAGTGATGACAAAGCAACTAATAATTTTTCCATATGAAGTTATCGAAGCAATCCTCAGGAAGATTAAATGGCTACTTTTATTTTTAATCTTCGTGCTATTTGCCTTTGCCCATTCGTTTATGGTTCTCTTATCGGAAACCCCGCCTAATAACGGAAAAAATACATTTACTAGCTTTGAACGATCCCTCATAAATGTCTGGTCAATGCTTCTGAGTGACTACAGTTCACTAAGTCCATGGATAAACAATCGTCTGCTGGATATTCTCAAGGTTTCCTTCTCATTCAGCACAACAATAGTAATCTTGAATATTTTGAGTACGTCGTTAATAATTTCTTTTGTTTATAACAATTATTAACGTTTCTTTTTGATAGTTGCGCTCATGAATAATGCCTATGAAGAAACATATAAGAATGCACACACCATGTGGATCACACTACTGGCAGATTTCATCGTAGACTTAGAATATTCATTTGACCCGTCGAGGTATGCGTAGATAACGCTCCTGTGCCGTATCACAGTAATCCATAAACTTGATTATTAAATTGCAACTTTACAACAGATTCTATTGTTTTGAAGATTTACAGCCCAAAGAGCCTTCATATATTATTTACACGGTTAAATCCAATGAGGTTGCCGAGGGACCCGTAAGCAAAATAGAAAATATAACTAAACTGAAAGACGAAAAAGCTAAGGAATTCAGGCAAACTCCCTTTGCTGAACCGCAGAAATTCCCCATGGATGAGATTATCGTTGATCGAAATTAACGAGTTAAGTGTGGCATGAATATAACCTATGGCTCGGAAAATATGCTCGCAACTACTAAGCGTTTTCATAATATTAAAATATAACCAGCTTCAAACTCTAGGTGGGAGACAGAATATAACGTCTGTAAAAAGTAATTTATACAAAATTGGTACCGCATACTCGCGAAATAACGCCATCTCGTGTTATCTTGAATAAATTGTCGACTTTCCGATTTTCCTGAATGGTCTGTGCCATGAATCATCCTCTCTATAAAAAAGTGAAAACTTGTTCTTTATATAACGTTGCATCCAACTCATTTCCTACAAAATTCGGGTCCGTCTGAAAATTTGCGATGTCTTAATGGATTACATAGAAATCGTAGTTAACTATTTCTTTCGATATAAATTCCTTATATACACGTTTATTTATATATAGTATGCCTTTGAATCTTTGCACTATATAACGCATTTGCAATAAAAAAAATGTGTATGGTGGGACCCACAATAAGCCATCAATTTATGGCGCAGTAGGTTAAAAATCAAAAACTAAAAATTATGGATTTATATTAAAAATGCGAAAATGTAATATTTGTAATATTCCAAGTTAGGAAATTTACCAATACAATCTTATAATGTATTAATTTATATTAAATTAATGCCAGCCAAAATTGATCTATATTATGGTAATGCTGGTCAGAATTTTATAGGTCAAACTTGGTCTGTACTAGTAAATAATTTTTTGTATAAGCTTATTAATAATATCCGATTTAAGGTCATGTATTGTTATAATTAGCATAAAAATATATTGATAATTAATTTTATTGGATGGCTTTTTGTGAGTCAAACCATATATATGACGACTATATGGATGCACATTATTTTGGGATGCATATGGGTGTAGGCGCCACCCAATATCACGAAACCTATCTTCCCGAAATTCCAGCATCCTGACAATCTAACTTTCTGAATCCAACATCCTGAAAAGTTAACATATCCCAACAAAGCCAACCTTCTGATATATTCAACTTTCTGAATCCTAACTTTCCGATATTATTTATATTTAAATAAAGCGCCGTTATTCTGTCGTTGAGGTTAAACATTAATAAATACTAGAGTTTGTCAAGAAATTATATTTATCAGAAAATTTGATGTTAATTATTGATTTTTTCTATTCGAATCTATTTTATAACTTCTTTTTTATTGTGAAACAAATGTTATTTTGCTGAAATAACATATTTCTCAAGTCAATAAATATGTTATATTATGAAAAGAAATGAAACTAGGTTTGAAATCTTTAATACAAATTATTTATTGTCAATATTATGAAATAATTTAGTTTTTTTTAATATATATTTTTTTAATTAATTTTATGATTATTCTAAATATAAACTTATAGTCTGATAATAATATAATAATCTCTTGACTATAATATAATTAGAAAAATAAAATATATTTTTCTTGCAACTTGCTTGCACTTATAAATTTAATATTTTACTTTTATTAATACTGATTAAACCAAGTATAATAGATCTTATATTTATATTTAACAAAATTTATTCAGTGAAGTTTTACAGTCAACACGGAAAGTAATGGCGGACATGTTTTTTGTCTATAACTTAATAAGAAATTGCTAAAAATTTACAAAAATTTGACATTATATTCTTTAGGAAGACGGAAACAAAATTTTATAAGGTCACAAAGCGTGTTAACCTAGTAATATTTTGTGGAATCACGTGCTAAAGGTGGCAGGCTGGGGGACTTCCCTGGTTAAAGAGCTATAAAAAATTATTTAAAACTATTTTTTATAAGCAAGTATGAAATGATTTTATAGAAATATATTTAAAGATATAGAAAATATATTTGTAATTTAAAAAAAATTTTAGTTGATATTTATTGAATAAATGCCAGTCAAAGAAAGGCTCAATTTTGATAGATTTCATAATAAAATATAATAAATATATTATTTTACTATATTTTATTATATTTTATTATGAAATTTATCAAAATTAAGCCTTTTTTAACTGGCATTTATTCAATAAATATCAACTAAAAATTTTTTAAATTACAAATATATTTTCTATATCTTTCAATTTG